GGCCGAGCAGAAATCCGCGGCCGAGCAGAAATCCGCGGCCGAGCAGAAATCCGCGGCCGAGCGGAGCCCCGAGAGCATCCCCCGCCCGCCGGCCGCCGCCGAACACCGGGAGCAGCAGCAGCAGGAGGAAGAGGAGGAGGAAGAGAGCAAGGTAAGGGGAGGGAGGCTTGAGGGAAGGCGAATTTCGCGTGGGGGGCTGCACGTCCTTTTCCCAGCAACTGCTCCAGGTGCTGGGGGTGTGCTCTCTTTCCGTCCCCCCCTTTTTTTGTGGGTTGCAGCAAATCGTCCCCCTGCAGCATGAGGATGCCCCAACTGCTGTCCTTGCAGCCCCAGGGAGGTCTCCCCCTTGTGTCCCCCCCCAGCACCCTACTGGCCTCCCACCCCGAGCTCTGACCCGTGCTTGAACTGTGGGGGGCTGCCTGGTAAATCCTCCTCCAGCTCCGGATCTTGTTTAAAAATAAAAGGGTGACCCAGCGGCCATGGAAGGAGTTTGCCCTGCTGGCTTCCGTGAGCTCTGCGTTAATGCTCTGTGCCGTGGGCCTGGGGACCCTCGAGGGGCTCAAACTGACGGTGCTTCTCCCGGGGCGGCCCCTTGTACCAGCGAGGGATGCAGGCAACAGGGTGACCTGGGAACCCAGGAGGGATGCAGGGCATGCAGACGTGTTTGAGCTGGGGAGCACAGCCTGGGGCCTGGCTGCCTGCTGGCTATTAATAGCAGCATTGCTAATCCTTGGTGACTGCATCCAGGCTGCTGGGCAGTGTGCAGACGGACAGACAGACAGCCGTTGTCTTGGAAGGCATCGCTACTGACTCACCGGGCGCAGCGGGCGAGGCGCAGTGGGTTGGCACTTCTGTGTCCCGTGGTGATCATCAGAGCAGTGCCCGGCCCTGCGTGCTGGCACCTCATCCTCCTCCCACCTCTTTCATCTCCCATTTCTATCCCTGAGTCCCAGCACCATCCCTTGGCTACGGGGATGGCTCTCAAGCAGACCCCCATCGTCACAGCCTCCCAAAAGCGCTGGGGACATCTGTCCATCTCTGGGATGACTTGTGGGATTTATCAGTGCTCTGCAGGGCTGGGGAGCCCCAGGACTGCCGTTCACTGGCTGTATCCCAGCTGGGATCGCTCAGCAGCACCCAGGACGTGCAGTTTCTCTGTTGTCTCATTAACACGAGTTGGGAATGTTTCTCCTCCCTCCTGGCTGCTCTTCAGTCGCATTTTCCTGAGCAGACACCACTGCAACCTTCTCCTCCTTCAGGAACGTGGCACTGCAGTTCTGTCTGCCCAAAGGTGACCGTCTGTATGAGATGTTCCTTTCCCCTTTGGGTGCCCCAGTGAGCACAGGCCAGGGTGCCCACGACCTGGAGGACACTGTGCTCAGTGCAGGTTGTGCCTCACACAGCAAAGCACAGATGGTGATGGGCTGACAGTTGGACTCAATGATTTTTTTCCAACCTCAGTGATTCCACGATACAGGACAAGGTTTTGCTTCCTTGGGAAGTGATTCCCAGCAGCAGGGCAGGGTGAGCTGCTCTGGCACCAAGCAGTTGTTAACAGGTGTGGATGGGAAGGAGTTTGGTCGAAGCAGTGAGAGCTGCACAGGCTGGAAATGAGCCCTGCCCTACTCGTGGCTGAGGGCTGCAGTCCCTTGATGTGACTCAGCAGAGGCTCAGACCAGCATCGTGCTGCTGGAGGCTTGGAGCTTTTTGGCAGACCCAGTGCATCAGACAGCAGTGGGCTGTGCTCTGCACTCCGAGGCCTTTCTCCTTTTCCCTGCTGTCTGCTCAGCACGTGCTGCTTCAGATTCTCTGCAGCCATTAAGCACTGAAGCAAGTGCTGATGGATGAAGCAGCGTCGGTGTGCTCAGTGCATCACCCTGCTGTCTGTGTTCCCTCCTGCTGCCTTTATGCTCTGGTCCCTGCCTCTGTCCTGCAAGGTCCCTGTCCTGCCCTGGTGGGCAAGGTGATTCTCCGTGTGCTGGGCAGGGCTGAAAGAGGGGGAATCAGGGGAAGGAGATCCTCATTCCCATTGGGTTCTGGTGGTGGTTCCCCTGTGTCTGCTGGCTTCCATCACTAACAAAAAAAATTAATTAGTTTGTCACTGTCGGAGCTCGTTACGTGATGGATGCTGCTGCCCTAATGAGAAGCTGCTGGGTGGGAGCTGTGGCAGCTCAGCGTGGGTCCTGCCAGAAAGGAGCAGAAATCCCCAAATCTCCCACTAGCTCTTCTACCCAAGGGCTGCTGCTCTGCCAAACTCGGCCCATCAGCTTCCTTTTCCCCCTTTTTTAAAGGCTTTTTCCTTCCCCTTTCCCTCCTGGCTTCTCTTTTTCTGTCTGGCTCCCCGCTGCCTTCCTCTTGCAAACTCTTGCATCAGGCTTGGATCAGAAGGCGCAGCCATAAATGGCAACGTGGGGCTGGGAGCTTCCAGGGTAATTTTCTCTCCCCCTCTTTGCAGCCCAGGGCCTTCCCATTTCCCTGCAGTTGGAATGGATGAGGGGCTCTGCTTGCCCCCATCATGCCCACGGGACAGCAGAAGGGGTGGGGGCCCAGCAGCCCCTCCTTGCGTCCCTTTAGAGGAGGGAAACCTGCTGTGGGGAGGGAGGAACCGCCTCTGGTTGGCCATAAATGAGCTGGAAACAGGGTGATGGGGAGCCCAGCCTATATTGCCCTATGACAGAGAGGAGGCTTTCCCACCTGGGAGATGCTTTAGGGCTGGAAGAGGGCTCATAGGCTGGGAAAGCCATGAGTGGGGCTTTTGGGGAGCACTCTGTTACTGCTCAGTGCCCCAAACCTCCCTGGGGGTCTCATCCTCGCTGCTGCTTTTGTCTGCAGCCTGCACTGCCCAAGTCAGGCTCACATGTGGGCGTTTGCTTGCTGGCCATGGAAGCTAAAGGGCAAAGCACATTTCTGATGAGCTAACAAATGCTTGAGTGCTACAGCCAAGGTCTGCCAAAAGCCAAGACAGCTGTATTGCCGCATTGTTATTTAAGGTAATGACTTGGGGGATTTTAACCCTGCGCTGGGTTTGGGGGGGCTGTGATTTGGTGGCATTGCTTATGGGAGCTCCTGGCAGCTCCTGCTTGGGGTGCCTGTCCCACCCATGTGCTGCTTGTGCCACACAGTGTCAGCTCTGCAGAAACTGCTCTCCATCCTGGCAGCCCGACTGCTGCATCAGCATCCCCAGGGCTGCTGCTGTGCCTTCCCCTGCTCTGCAGCACTGTGGTTCAGCATCACCGCATCCTCGTGTGACTGTGGTACCACTGATCTGGCAGTGGCCGTGGGGCAAAGGCTGCCAGCAGTGCAGTCCTGGGTCTTGGCGGGGCTTTTCTAGACTCTGTCTGTGTGTTCAGGGTGCAAATGTGCTCTTTGGACTTGCACCCATGGCCAGGAGCAGCGCCTGGCTCATTCCAGTACGCATCCCATGGGCTGCCTGTGGGAGCTGCTCCCGACCAGGCAGACAGAAGGACAGGGCTGTGGAAGGCAGGGCTGCAGCGCGGGGGGAAGGGAGCTGCTGGCATCTGCCTCTGAGCAGAAAAATGCTGTGCTGTAGTGAGCAAGCAGTTGCCACGAGCAGAGCTCCCCAGTGTTACCACAGCACATAGCAATCGCCTGCTGGCCTGGCAGCCCAGCCTGCTCCCCCTCTGCTCCCATCAAACGTTGCTTCCAGTGGGTTGGAGCAGGAACAGTTCTCTTTCAGCACCCCCCAGGGCCAGGGCTGAGCATCCTCTCTGTTGGGTGCTGCTCTGCTGGCCACGGGGCTGCCCAGGTATCAGCAGTGAGTGCCCATGTTTGGAAGCGTGGCCCAAAATAGCGATGGCTGCTGGGGTGTCAGCCACGTGTCCTCCTGGGGAGCTGGGTGGTGAGGAGAAGCCAAGGGGCTGTGAATAATGCGCATTCCTCACCGATGACAAACCATGCTGGGTCTGAGCAGTACCACGCTTAGTGGTGGATATGAAGCCACCGCTGCAAACCCAGTGCGGGGTCTGTGCTGGTTCCCCTCCTGTCTGCATCACACAGGGAGGAAGGCACGTGTGTGGGCACTGCCTGTGTCCCAGCCTTATCTCCAGGGCTGGAGCTGTTCTCTCCCTCCCCACGTTCCATCTGCAAGGAATCCGGCCTTGATAAAGCTTGCTGCGACTCGTGGGAGGCAACCCCAAAACTTCCAGACTTGGTTTGTGTTAAAACTCTGTGCTGTTTGATTCCTCCCTGTGCATCCTGAGCTGAGATGGCTCCTGCTGGGGGCAGCTTTGCTTGCCCGTGTCTGTGTGGGATGGATGCTCCTCTTGCTGGGCCCCTCCATGCCCCAGACCCAGCTCCAAGCCTCCCTCCCTGCTCCTGGGGCTATTTTTGGTGCTTGAGGGCCCAAGGGAGGAAATGACTGTAATGGCAGCCCCGTGGGCATGGGGAGAGGGCAGTTCTCATGACACTGCTAGGCAGTGAGAAGGAAGCAGACTAATGAACGTTGCTTGTTAGCAAAGCATCCCTTTCCCCTCTTCTCAGAATGGGGCAGGGAAGCAGTACCCAATTTTGAGGGCTCTCATAGGTGATGTAGAACAGCACCTTCTGATCATGGCTGCTCTGTCTTTTCCCTCTGCAGGAGGAAGATCCAGACTCAGACAGTGAGAAGCTGATGGTGAAAGAGACGGAGGATGATGATGGTGAGTGCCAGAAAGGCAGTGCCCCATGGGGATGGTCTGAAAAGCTGAGCCCCAGTGCCTGGGGATGGTCCCCCATCTCTGAGCTCTGCAGGGGAGAAGGACCCAACATCCCAAAATGAAGGGACATGGAGGGAGAAGCAGCTACTGGGGATCCACACACAGCAGAAGGGCCCCTGCCCTTGGGCTGTCACTGTTACTAAATATCTGGGAGCAGACAAACAGCTCAATCCCTTGGAGCAGCACCCCAAAAGCTCCTTCCTCCCCTGGAGGCACATCTCTGGAGTCTGTAGGCAGAGCCACATTTAACTAATTACTCAATTAGTTGATTGGAAAATGATGAATTGCCTCACTGGAGTGGCTGTGCTCAGAGAAAACAAAGCAGGTGGCCCATCAAGCAGCAGTGTGTCAGTGGGGCTGTGCCCACATCCCTCTGTGCTGGTGCTCCTCCTGCTCTGCCCCACTTTCCTCCCAACCCGGGTAAGGCACAGCATGGCAATCCCCAGGCTCAGGAGGATTACCCTAATGCCACAGGGAATCAAATTTTAATCTCGTGAGGTGGGAGAAGCGCCTTCCCTCTGTAGGGGACAGGGTTCCACAAAGACATGTGTGTGTTCCATCCTGCTGGGCTTCCGTGCAGCATCGGGGGTGTTATTGGGGCTGGTAGATCTGGTTGGATGAACGATGGGCGTCTGCTGCCCAAAGGATGATGGTGATGGTGCTGTGCCAAGGTTTGCCCTTTTTGGTTCATGGCTATTTGGGGGCAGCTCACATGGAGTCGCGCACAGCTCACGGCTTGCTCAGCATCCCCACGAGCCCACGGTGCACGAGAGCAGCTCAGCCCCACTTTGGGAGATGGGAGGCAGGAGGCAGCTGCTGAGCTCGCAGGGCTCTCACCCGGCTCACACACTGCCAGCTCTTGCAATGCAATGCAAGAGAAGAGATGAAAAATAAATATTTTCTTTCATATGCTCCTGGTAAGTAGGTCACATCTTTGCCCTGCAGCCGGCCACGTGAAAGCCCTGCCTCCCTGCTCCGTGCTTCCTGAAGTTTGTTTTCAGTCTGCAAAGAAAGTTCCTGAGCTCAGAAAACATCCAGCGGTTTCCAAAGCCACAACACGTGGGCAGTGAGATAGGTGGCCACCTCTCCTCCCTGCTGCTTGTTCCTTTCTGGTGGAGCAGCGATTAAACTGCCCTTTTTGAACAGGCAAAATCTCAATTTGGCAGAGAACCGTGTGGGGGAAATGATTTTAATTGTCCTTGAAATCAGGCGAGCTGTACGAAGGTAATAAAATAACTCCTGGGCTGCACCAGGGCAAGGAACAGGATGTTACACCCTCTCTTTCTGTTCTTTCCCTCCCAGTATCTCCCAAAGCAGCAGCAGCAGCTGATTTTCTTTCCATACGCTTTCGTGACCACTTTTATGGGGTCTCGTTGGTGCCTGGAGGTATCACCCAGGATGGTGGGTTTGAGGGTAACATGCAGCGTCCTGGAGATGCACAGGCAGTCAGGCTCCTCCTGGAGGGGAGAGATACAGGGCCACAGCACCTTCTGTTTGTTGGACTCCTCGGAAGGAGCCCCGGGGCTCTGTGAGGACAGCAGATGGTTCTGTGGGTGCAGCTGTGCTGAGCAGCTGACACGAGGCAGCTCCATCCCACAGTCCTTGGGAGATAAAGGTCTGTGGATCAGCAGCTGCAGATAAGCGCTGCTCCGTGAGCCCTCAGGGCCACCCTTTGGATCGCCCCCACCGCTGCTGTTCTCTGTTGTCTCTGGGAAGATAAGGAAGGGGAGAGGTTTCTAAAAGCAAACGGAGCTCTAATAAAATCCGATTGGAAAAGGATCAGCTTTGCTTCGAGATCTGTGAGCTCTGGCACTAATTAGCCCGAGGCTGAGATGGGGAGATCTGGAAAGGGGCCCCTGGGGAGGAGGGGAGAGATACCTCAGGGTTTCCTGAGGCTCTGGAACCGATGGTGGAAGCCTCATGGGTGAATGCATGGGAGCAGGGCTGGGCGTGCAGCTCGAGCCTGTGGATGCTGAATGTCCCTCTCAGGTGCTTTCTGTCTCACACCATCTCCTGCTCTCCTCTGTCCTGTCCTCCCCAGCTGCAGATGAGACGTTCTCTTTTAAGTACAGTCCTGGAAAGCTGAGGGGAAACCAGTACAAGTCAATGATGACCAAAGAAGAACTTGAGGAAGAACAAAGGTATGCTGAGTTTCCTTTTTTCCCTTCTCACCTGAGTCCATCTGGTTGGCAGTTTCTTGAAGCAAGATCTCACACCATCACAAATACAATCACATGGATTGAGGAGATACAGGGCCACAGGGATTCACTGCAGCTGGGCAAGCTCCTCTGGATGCTCAGACCTGATGTCTCACCTGTGCAAGTTGGTGTATATCCACGGACCCATTGGCACCACGTTGATTTCCATCCGTTGAGGCTCTGACTGCCCCTTCCCCTCCCTTTGCCCTGTCAATTGCCTGAGGGTTTGGGTACAGCTCTGAAATACTGGAGCAAAGGCAGTGAATGTGGAGCTTTGGAGCTCCGTATCCCAGTGTGGCCCACAGCATGCTGAGCAGATGCCAGTCCCTCCCTTGTCATCCCCAAGGAAGGGCTGTGGGCCCTAGCTCTCCATGCAGGCTGCCCTAAACATGCTGATCCTGCACCATTTCCCTTCATGTTAGCCCTACTTTCACACCAAGGGATGCCTTCCCTTTCTGCCCACAGGTCTCAGGGTTCACTGCTGTGCAGCTCTGCTAGGAGCAGCGCTCTGCTTAGGCTGCACGCTCTGGTCTCAGCCATGCAAGCCAGCTCTGGCTGCTTCTGGGCTGACCCTGCATTGCTGGCATCAGGAAAATGTTTGCTTTCTTCCCATTATGTCTTTATCATGCCTGGAGCATGCAGCCCGTACAACACTTGCCAGGTCTGTTGGCATCACTGCTTTCACGTGGGGAGGGGATGGTGGAATGAGCAGAGTGAATGTGAATGAAATCCCAACCCACAGGGCTCAATGGGAATTGTTTTGGGGGATCCTGCTAAGCACCGGTACAAAATCCACTGCAAAAGGTACATTTAAACCCTCTGCAGCTCCAGCAGCCAGCTGAGCAATCACTGCGTGAGGGTTCGAACGGGAGACCTGCAGGGCTGGCTCCTTGGTGGCAACAAAAGCCACTGGGCATCCTGTGGGTGCAGTGAGGGGACGTCGCTCTCGCTGCATCCCCAGCCAAGGTTTTGTTCTCTGGACTGAAGGATGGGTATCAGTGCTCACATCCCAGGGCAGGGCTGTGCCCCCAGGGCTGGCAGATGGCACTGAGGACGCCTTGGAAGCTCTCAGCAGCTCGCACACTGAGGGCCATTGGCAGCGCGTTTTCCTACTGCTCCCTTCTGCTGTCTCTCTCTGTTTGTGTTGTTCATTTCCTTACGGCAGCTTTATGAATTTTGCTTTTAATGTTTTACTTTTGTCCTGCTGTGTCGCTGCCTTATTTTCTTCCCTGTGCCATCAGCAGCTTCTCATTTCAGGGTGGTGTGTGGGTGCGGGTGCTGCTGGGTGAGGTCCAGGTGAGCAGAGGGCAGCAGCTCAGCCTGGTCCCCCCGAGCCCCGTCCCTCTCCCTGGTTCCATGCGTTCTGCACTCTGACCGCTGCCAACCTGCTGTGACCCAGGTTTGCCACCTTTATGTTGCAGGATTGAGCTGACCTCTGATCTCACATCTCTGTAGCAAGTACCTTAGGTCCTCGGCCACAAACATTCTTGCAAATCTGTTTGGTAAGGATGCGCCGTTTCTTAGAAGTAGTGTTACCATGGATAACATCTGCTAATGTGTTCTGGTGGTTTTGCTGTGGTGTTTTGTTGTTTTTTTTTTATTCTTTTGGGTTTTATTCTGGGGGGAGGAGGGTTTATTTCTGAGCCATCTCTCCCACCTCCCTTCCCTCCCCATAACAGATTAATGAGTCTGCTCCCCCTGCTCCATCTCACTTCCACGAGCACTCCAAAGGGACCTGGAATGGAGGGTTCTCACGTCCAGCTGCTCAGCTCTTCCATATGGGTTCCTCAGCTCAGACATCCCATGAATGCTTCTATTTCCTGACCTGGAAAATGAGGGCAGTGAGCTGGTGGTTAGCCCTAGGGCACGTAGCTGGAGGTGGGGGCTCAGCCTGCTGCTGACCCTTCAGTTGACCCCCATGGGCCAGCAGGCACCTGTGGGAAGCAGCGTGGAAGCAACATGCAGAATGCAAGGCTCCCAGTTGGGACTGCCTGTTGTGGTCTGTCATCAGGAGCCCTTCATTTGGGGACACCTGATTTTGGAAATGCTACTGAGATAATTCCTTTTACAGGAAGACCCGTAGACAGTAGGAGAGGAGAGACATGCAGTAGGAAGGGTTGTTTAAACAAAAACCCACTTCTGCTCATACTCTGCATCGCTCCTGAAGCTGTGGTTGCCTTGCCTGCTATTCACTTGAATCTTGCAGCTTCAAACTGGCGCTAAATCTGGACTCAAAAGGGAAGGAATGTGACCTTCATGGAGTGATGCAACTTCCTGCTTTTTGATTACTTCAGTCTTAAAAAATAGCAGGACTTCTCAGGAGGGAAGGCCGGTCACTCTTGGTGGCAAACACATCTGCTTGGCTGGTGGCACTGCACACCTGGGGGGTTACCAGCACATGGAGAACAGAAGCACGTAGCGTTTGTTCCTCTGGGGGAGAAAAGCAGTCTGAGCAGGAAGGGGAAGGGAGCAGGGGAAGGATGCAGCCTTGAGTCAAGCCAGCATTGCATATTTCCCAAATCCATCTCTTCTGCACCTGAGGCTTTTGGTCATCGATTGCCAACTGCAGCTGCCATGGTGCAAAGCGGGGGGATGTGGGACTGGAGTGGTGCAGCCTGTCCAGGCTGTATGGGGCACAAGTACAGCCCCAGGGCTGTTAGTGGGTTGGTTTGTTTGTGCAGTGAGCACTGACAGCTGCAACAAGGCTGCATTTTTAGTAAAAAAAGAAAACAGCCAGGAGAGAGATTCCCGTAGGTTTTTGTTTTCAGTTCTCTCTTTCTACAAGATAGAGCAGGTCCCAGCAAGTCCTGGTTGGCCTTGGTGATGCTGAGTCCCTCCCACTCTTCTGTAGGTGTGCAGGCTGAATGGAAAGCAGATCCCACACGATAGTCCATAGGAAGCTCTTTCCTCTTTGTCTTCTCTTGTTTCTGAGGTTTCTGGATAGGCAGAGGTAGAAAACCAGAAGCTGTCCCCCAAGCTCTGGGTGCTGCAGCTGCACTTCCCAGTCAGTCACCTTCCCTGGCCAGCAATGAGACACTAAGATGCTTCTCATTGCTGTGTGGGCTGCAGCATAGGCAGAGGCTGTGTTTTCTGCGTGTGTACTCGGATGAGATGTTTGTGGTTTTGCATAACCTAAATTAGTGCCAGGAGTGGAGTGGGAAGAGGAAAGCAAGAGAAACAGGACAGCAAAGTTTCTGACCCTGAGGGGCCCAGCTGCAAACATGAGGGCACCTCCAGGGCTGGAAAAGCCTCACAGCACTCTGTCCCTTAAAGCAGTGTCTGAGTGAAACTCAGTGCCCCAGCCTGCTCAGAGCCTCCTGCTTGCAGGTGTGATGGATGGCTCGGTGATACCACAGTCCAACCTCTACAGGACTGGGGAGAAGGTAGGGAGGGCTGCTGTGTTTGCTTTGCTAGTAAGCGTGGTTCCCACAGTCATCTCAGCCCTTCTGGGATTAATTCTCTGGTTCTCCTGGCCAGCCATGGGTGGGTTGAGAAGGTACTGCTTGCAAATTGGAGTTCAAGCAAAGGGAATGGGATGGCTGTAAATCCTACCCACTGCCCTTCTCTTGGTGATCAGTTAGCAATGGAAAGCTGGCTGGCCCCCAGCTGGGTCCAGAGTGCTTCTTAATTACGAGCCGCCTAATAAACCCAGGCTTGGACCCTGGAGTTTCAGCAAGGCAGGGCGCGTGGCCAGACCTTAGCTGCAGGGAAAGGCAGAGAGAAGACATGGGGATGTGGGACTGGAGTGGTGCAGCCTGTCCAGGCTGGACGGGGCACAAGTACAGTCCTAGGGCTGTTAGTGGGCTGATCTTGCTTTGCCAGACATCCCAGATCAAATGGGGATGCAGCTGTGGCTTTAGGGAGAGCTGTGCCGAAGTGCCATTTTGAACCAGACAATGCTTGCAGTGATGACTTGAGAACACAAGGGCAGGAAGCAGCTGCTAGGATTTAGATGTTGGACTTTGACCAGTTTTGAATATGTCCACTGCTGGCCCTGTAGAAAAAGTGGGTGGTCTGGGCTGGGGGAGGCTGTATTTCAGAAGAGCTCTCTTTCTGCATCTGTCCCTGTCCACCTCCTGCATTGCCATCACATGGCCCTGGCTTGCTTGCTTGCTGTCCTTTCCTGTCCAGCATGGCACTTCATTTGGATGAGGGAAGCTGGTAAGTTTGGCTTTCTTTGGATTTTTATTATTTGTTTGCTCTTCATCTTCTGCAGCACGATAGTCGCCCTGGGCTGAGGGAGGAGAAGTAGCAACAGGGGGCTACAAGCACTGTGAATGTGGGGTTCTGTTTAGATCAGGCTGACCACTGCTTCACTGCGGCCCCCAGCCATGGGGATGGCACTGGCCGTGGGGAAGGCTGCCTTCAGCCACAGAACAGCCTAGGAGGAAAGGGGCACATGGGTACAGGGGGACCCACCAAACTCCCCTGGCTGTGATGCTTCTCCATAGGGAAAATGTCTATGAGAAATCAGTGGAGCTGAGCTCAGGCCCTATTTATAGAGCGTCTGCTTGAGTCATGAGTCCCACAGAGCAGCTCAGGATGCCTCCCTTGGAAACGCAGGGAAAGGGGAGGCTAGTAGAGCCCTTCCTCTCCTCTCCCATCCCTGGGGGGAGCCTTCCAGACGCTCCTCTGCAGGCTGTGAGTCCCCAGCCCTGCCGTGGGATGAAGTTTCAGACTCTGCTTTGAGCTCCTGGGTTTTTCCTTTTGGCTGAGGTCCTGAATTGTCCCAGCTTGTGGCTGCTTTGCATCTCCCTCACCCAGCGCTCACAACTGGCTCTATTTGCTTCTGCTTAACCTCACGCTGCATGGGCAGCTTGCTGTTCCCTCTGCTAACTCTCTGGGAGCCCAGGCTGCCTCCCTTGTGGCATCATGGGCTGCAGGAAGCCAGGCATACAAGCATAGGTTGGCCCATCTGTTGTTTTCTCCACTTCTGTAACATGGACTCGGGTTCAGGAGCATCGCAAAGGGGTGAGCATCGAGCCGGAGGAGGTGAGCTGAGCTGAGCTGGCAGAGCTCAAGCTGCCTTCCTGGCTGTGCTGTGGCCTCTTCAGCTGTCACTGCTGCGGCTGGGAAGCGTAGGAGGCTTCTGCCTTGAAACAGCACTGAGCAAGGGCAGCTCAGCCTTGCCAGCCTTGTCCTTGAGCTGCTGGGACTGTGCTCCTAACTGCTGCCTCAGCTGCCGCCTTGGTGTGCTGAGGAGCAACAGGCATCCCCAAGGTCCTATGCACCCACTGGAGGAATTTCAGATCTGTGCAGATAAAATCTCCCTTTGGTACCTCTCACTCTCTCACTCTTCTCTTTCAAAGCACTCTCTCTCCATATTCTGCTGTTAAGTTCTCTCCATGTTTTACCCACTGACTGAAGCTGGCCCACAATTTTGGGACTGAAGGGGAAGCTTGGATTTAGTAAGTCCTTCCTTGTGTTGTTCCTGCAGTACTGTGGTCCTGGACGTGATGCTCACTGCCAGCAGTGAGATGATATCTACCGCAAGGGTAGAGACATAGGAAGCGATGGTGATGGGACTGTAGTCTCTGTAGTAAGATGGGAGGGAGATGCCTGGGGGAGCCTGGTTTCCCAATGCCAGGCCCAGTGCCAGTGGCCTTTCCTCACTGCTCTGGAGCCTCAAAGGTGAATCATAGCCTTGGAACGAGAAGAGCCTGACGCCAGAAGGTATGCACCCTGCTTGCCAGCACTTCAGACCAGAGGACTGATGTTCTTGAGAAGCTGAGCGCCTGCTTTACCTGCTAGGGGAAGGAGCTGGGAATGCTCCACGCTTCTGAAAATCAGCTTTCCAGACAAAATTCTTCTTGAAATGGTTGCAATTCCCAGAGGTGGTTAGAGCAAGGTGTCTGGGGATCTTCTCCTTGGAGAGTGTTGAAGCCCCTCTGGAAAGCTATGGACAGTTGGGATGAGCTGTGAGATTTCTGACCTCCTGCTGTGGATTTTGACTGCAAGAGGGACATTAGCGCTGGGATGCTGCCTGCTCTCTAAGACAAGAAGTCCACGCTCCAGTGCCAATGTCATTGCTGAGCTGGAGTGAGGGCAATGCTTCTGAGGCCATCAGAGACCATTGGTTTCCACCTGTGCTGGAGATGCTGATCTCAGATTGCAGAGGAACTGCAAGCAGGACAAAAAGGAAGGGATAAAAATGTCCTTCCCTTTTCCTCAGCAGCAGAGACCAGTTACCTCAGGCTTTGTTCAACCTCATGCTCCAGTGTTCCCAGCTTCAGCTCCTGAGCCATTTTCAACCAATGACCTGCCCTTGTCTAAGCTCCTTATTTTCTGGTTGCTCCTTGCATATAACCACATCCAGTTGATCGACACTATGATTTATTGACTTGGCCCTTACTGGGGCCAGAGCAATTTGGATAATCTATAGGTGAAGAAATAATCCATTAAAAAAAGACCATAACCTGGCTTGATTCATATGCTGCCAGGGGAAGGAATGCTGGTAAGGCTGATTGCACCATCCACGTCAAATGGAAAGGAGGGAAGACCCAAGGATAGGCGGTGGCTCATGGCTCACCCTAAGATAATTAAATCTCTCACGCTTCGTGGCAGCAATGATGGAGCTTCTCATTCTAGGGAATTATATGGCCCTGATGTTCCCATGACAGTCTGCCTCATGCTCTTTAATCCCTCTCCCAGCTTGCTCCAGGAGCAGAAAGGGGTATCCCTGTTTTGCCGATAGGGAATTTGTGGTTTTGACAGATATCCTCCATCAAGTCCATGTTTTGTTTAAGATCTCACCCCTCCTGTCTGCCCAGCCCTGTCCTTTAGGTGAGTATCCCTGCAGAGGGGATGCATCTGAGCCCCATCCACTCTCCCTGATGTCCTCCATCCCTCCCCACTCCAACTGTGGCACGCTGGAGGGAACTTCTCCTTCTGGGCCCCCACAGCAATGAGCTTATGCCCTCATGTGTAAAATCTGATTATGCTTGTGTGGCTTGAGCAGGATGATCTGATGGTCAGTGCTGCGAATCCCACAGAGCGATTATCCACTCTGGAGAATTTTCTTTCTTTGCCATCATGGGTTGGCTGCTGAGCTTCCCCAGCACTGCCTGAGGAACTCTGGGCCCTTGTGAGGCTTCAGCCTTCATCTCCCATCCGAGATCCGGGTTGCTGAGTGTCTGTACAAAACAGCAGACAGTTGAGCTTTTTGCAGAGCAATAAGGAAGAAATGAGGCTGCAACTTGCCTTTATGTTGTAGCTGCCAGGAGCAGGTGACATCTGAATGAGACTCAGGTGATGGGCACTGCGAATCCTACTGAATTCAGGGGAATCAGGCTGTGGTCCATGTGTATCACAGCATTCCACGAGAGCAGCTGGGGCAGTCAGGGCAGCGCATCTGAAGGGTTCAAGCTGGGAATGAGGGACCACATTCATGCTAACATGCTGCAAGACCTTGGGGAGTGCCTGGATGTCTCCATCCATAAAGTGTATCTAATAATCTCACCCTCCTTCCCTGAGGTATTAGGAGAGGATGGAAGCACTGTGGTCTATAGAGTCTGTTGGTTTTGCCTCCTTTCTTTGGTCAGACAGATCAATAGAAAGGTTGACCCATTCATCCAGGAAACCGGATCCTGGCTCATCTGGTTGCAGGTGGCAGGAGGAATGTGGGCTGGACAAGTGTGTGAGCAGCCCAAGACAGCTCTGCATGGGACACTGAGGCAGTAATCCCTGGAGCTGATGAAGGTTTCCAGTTAGCTGGACTTCTTCAGCTCTCACCATAGGTCAGAAAGAAAGATTGCAATTCAAGTTTGATGCCAGATGAGAGGATTTACACGTCTTTGGCCGGGTTTCAGCTATCCTGCTGCAGTTGATGAGGAAACGTGCCTCCTCCTTTGAGGCACGTGGTTTGCAAACAGTGACTTACTCTTCCCAGAAGGGGAAAGCTGGCTTGCCTTCTCCTCCACTCATACTGAGTTATCCCCTTGCTCATTTATGTGAATAATAATGAAACCATCCTGAGGGGTGAAATGACTGAAATATTTCTCTTCTCTCCTTGTTTCTCTTTGCAGAACTGAAGACTATATGAAGTTGTCCCTAGCCTCCTCCTAAAGAAATCCCTTGGCATCTTTAAAGGCTTGAGAGAAATACCAAAACCAACCAAACACACCCATAAGAGAATCCATAAGCCCTCAAAACTTGGCATCCCTCTTGCTCTGAAGTTGAGTTCTTCAAAAACTCCTGTGGTATCAAGTTTAAGGAGATCCTTGTGTGTCTCCATGGACTGGGGCTGGGCCCAATGAGTGACTTGAGTTGTGTTTGGGGGGGCTGGGATATCCTACGTTAACCTTTCTCCCTCTCCTTCAAACAGAACCCAAACTGGATACCAAATTTGCAGCGAGCCTATTAGTTTTGTTCACCACCATGTATTAGCCCTGCCATGAAGTCAGTGTTGTTTCTTTAGAGGGGTGGGTGAACTGTAGCTCTTCTCCCAGACTGGCCTGGATCTTGTACCAGACTACCAAGTTGTTTCTTCTTAGAGCCAAATCCTTCTGTGCTGCTGGGGAGTGGGAACTGACTGATTTCAAACACTGTGTGACATTACTTTATTCCAAAGGGTGGAGGTACAAAGTGGGATCAAAGTAAGGGAGAGAAGATGTTAGCTGACTTAAATCTCACTTCTGTAGTTATTTTAGCAAAGAGCTGATCTTGCAGGTAGATGGAAGGCTGGAGGAGTGAGGAAGGTTGATAGCTTAGCTGTTCAGTTTGTGGTGAAGGCTTTGGAGACCACACTTTGACTGTTGTTATCTGGATTCACGCTTCCCCGCTCTGTGCCCAAGAGATGAGACCCAAGGAGGTAGCTATGGCACTGTGGGCTCCCACAGCTCAGCATGAGATGAGGGGGGTCCTGGGAGAGACGCCCTCCCCATTTCTCTGCCCGCTTGCTATCCCATTGCCCTCTTTTTCTTGCTAGCCCAGTGGCTTGTCCACAGGAGCCACATCTCAGCACCTCTCCTCAGCTCGTCAGGGGATGAATTTGGCTAGGTGCACATGCCTGCTCCAGGCACAGCAGGCTGCGAATGAAAGCCAGCTGGTCTGTTGGAGTGAGAAGAGGGCCCAAGTCCTCTAGTGATGTTGCAGAAGCACCAGGCTGGCTGGGATCGCGTCCTTCAATTCTTCTCTCACTGCAGGACAACAGCCTCTTGGCTAAAGCTGCAAACATATCAGAAAACCAACAGGCTGCTTTTTCTTTTTTATTTTTTTTCTTTCCTTTTTAATTCCTATGCAGACGATACTTGAAACCTTGTACACAGTTGTCCTTTCCAGCGCCTGGGGTTGGCAAATTCTTAATAAAAGGGCTCGTTTAAAGAACAGCAGGAGGCTTCAGCTTAGAAGAGGCTGGGCTGCCCCTTCCCAGCCAACAACTGCAAGCGTCTTCAGTGGTTTGCATACGAATTTAGGCACACCCTCTGCTTCAACACCCACTAGTACAGCTGCTGTCTCCCTTTGGTGCTGGCTAGCTGACTCTGTGTCCCAAGCACCCAACTATGCAAAGAATGCCTTATATACATTGTGTTTGTTACATGGCAATACGTACATCCAGCAAAGTCTATAGCTGAGTCCAGATTTTTGCTAGTGGCAGCGAGTCAAACTATTTCTTCAACTCAAGTGGCTGTCTGGGTATTTTTTACTTCTGTTTTGTTTGTTTGTTTTGTATCTGATGGTGGCTCTTATATGAAGGACTGTCATTCTAGTGGCTTGAATCTGTAAAAATTGCCTTCGTTTGGTCCAATAAACCTTTGAATAGTTTATTTGGTTTGTGCTTGCTCTCCCTTTCTCCAGCAGCTTGTAACTTTTTCCTCAAGAGATCTGTGTTGAAAATCTGGACTTTAGGTTAGAGGTACATTCTGTTTTCTTGTGCCTTTTACCCTAGAAGTGACTCCAACAGGAACGGAGTCAGGCCAGTGGTGAAAGCCTGGGTTCTCCCTTGTTTCTGCTGGAGCAGCTCCGTGCTGCAGTAGCATCCTGACCTTGTTTGTGTGTGGAGCAATTAGCAATCTTTCCCAATGCAGAGCTTTGCCCAGGATTTCAGCTGCTGCCAACCCAGATGCCCAGCAGCTCCTGAAGCTTAGATCTGCTTTAACATACCTACATCTAACTGCTCCAAAACTCCAGTTAATTGTGGAAGTTTGAGACTGAAGTGCCTAAAGGAGCCTGAGGGAGTGAAGTATGCAAATTCAATTCCCTATCAAGAATAATTAGGCTGCTTTGAAAAATCCTTAATTAATCTATTTTGTCAGCAATAAGTAAAATCCTCTTTGACTTCTTGAATCCAAGCAGCTTTGAGGACAGCAGTTACGGGAAGAGAGAACGATTCTACTTGTGAATGGGATAGTTTTGATCTGAAATCACCAAGAAAATACAACCTGGAGCACTACAAAGTTGTTTTACAAGGTCGCCTTTGATAGCAGAAGCTCCTTTTTGAAATCAGTTTCATGTTTTTGATGTCTCTCTTCTTTCTCAGGCTCTTTTCTCTCCTTATCTTTGTTTCGCTCTCCCTTTGTTGTAGATTATGAAGTGCAGAGCAGTAACACCTCTTTTTGATTTCTGCTTTCAAATGTACGGTCGTGAAATTTAAAGTCGAGGGGATGGACAGAATGTATGGATGCTGTGTTTTAAAAACAAGTGGGGATTGTCAGCGATCTCAGTTTTGGAGACAAGAATACAAGGAAATGGAGCCTTAAGCAGCTGAAGGTTTCAGTACTGTTAATGTCTGTGAGATAATAAGTGATGGATGCAGACCTGAGCAGAGCGTTTGCAGCTGGCCCGCATTTCCAACACGTGAGGCAAAGGCGTGTATTGGATTTCTCCACATCGGTCTGGAAATGTGCCCTCTGGTACCCAATGGTGATCTAAAATAAAATATTGATCAGTGACGACTGTGCTGCACCTCCTCTGGTCTGGAAAGGGCAGCTGGAAGTGTTTCATGTGAGCAGAGAAACATGCATAAAGGATAGACAAATCCAGGTGCTGGACAGGCTGTGGCTAGAGCTTTCATAACCAAAAGGTTCCAACATCAGGATACATTTGGCCTCAAGATAATTGCGTTTTAATTGTAATAGGAAGTAATTGGCAAATGAACTTCCTTTTGCCAGGATGTGCTTTCTTCCTGCCCTGCCTGCAGCGATGGTGCTGGGAAGACAGCTGGCTGCTTCTGCTCCTGCTGGGGCTGAGCCCAGAGGGGAAAACACAGAGCTTGATAGGAACTGGGATGCGAGGGCTCCTCAGCTCATTCCTGACTGTCTCCTTCCACTCATTCTTGGCGTGCGTACTTCTAACTGTCGATGCTGTGCTTTCTTCATTCAGGCAAGGGTTGCGTCCTGGTTTTGCCTGTCAATAGGTATTTTTACTGCTCCTATTATGGAAACAGCTAATAGCTTGTCCACGCAGGACTTGCAGGAAGACTACCCCAGGTTAACCAATGGCCTCCATTTAAGTGGATTAATTACAGCGTATTAAAGCCCTGTGCGGAGAGCGGGCTGTGATGGGGACAAAGGACACTCGACAGGGTGACTGTAGAAATAAAAGCAAGAATCAATATTTCCAGCTGAGGGGAAGTCTAGTGATGCTAAAGACACGGAAGAGCAGCAAATTGGACTGCAGCAAATCTGTGCTCTGAGTTGCTGAATTCTGACTCCACAGACCTGCAATATTCATTTTGACCTAAAACTGTAGGCAGTTGCATCAGTTTGTTCATTAGGCATCTGGGAGGCATTTGAGAATACGTGATATTCTCGTGCAGCCCTCCCTTCTTTATCTCTAAGCAATGAGCAGTAAATATGTGAACAATATAAGCTCTCCTATAAAGATTCCTCGAACAAAGCATTGTGGCAGATACCAATCATTGCGCTGCAGGACGTATAACAATGGTTAACTGCTTCAGGTAAGGCAAAAATCAGGGTATGAGCTTTTATGGGGAGCAGGAAATTAACAATCAACTGTGGGACCGTTAGGGCTGGAAATCTGAGGTAGATGTTCTGCTGGTCTGATTCTGCCCACGGAGGAATCATCTCATTGCTGGACAGTGAGTTCATCTCACTTTTTGACACTGGCAGACAAACTCCTGAATCAAAGCAGATTCCAGTCTGTGATCTTGTCTTCCAGTGGCGGATTAAAGTCACGTCCACAGTGGAAGGCAGTCTAGTCTCTAGTTTTACAGTAAGATATGAATTTAAAACTTAACAGCTATTCCTGAATTACTCTGCATCTGCATGCTCTCACTACAGAATGAAAGGATGCTGTGCTGATGAAGCTTACTCCATTTTTGCTATAGAGCCCGCTGAACTGGGACGTGGTGATCTTACAGATTTCCACACATGAAACTGTGAGCATAGATAAGCCCTAAGGTACTCCTCCAAAGCTGGTGCTAAAGCAGACAGTTTTATCTCCATGAGAAATGCAAAGAGGCATGCAAGATAATCAGATAGCTGTGAGCGTGAAGGATGCAGAACCAGAGGCTATCCCTTTCTCATCTTGCATGGGCAGATTTCCTGCAGTCAACAGGGCTTGTAAAATGACCCACGTTTGGCTTCATGTTTCATTTGGTGAGCTTGTTCAGAGCGCCTGCTGGGGACTGGCTATTCCTACTTCTCCTTTTCTTGTTGACAGGGTTCAGAGAGAGCAGCTGGCTGCCATCTTCAGGCTCATGAAGGAAAAGAGTGACACATTTGGAGAGATGTCTGAAGGAGACATGAAGGAGCAGCTTAAATTGTATGATATATAACCGTACAGCCAGTGAAGACGATGCCCAAAAGTCATCTTGGTCGTTATTATACAGGACTGTGGAGATTGTAGTGCTATAAATGTGTTTCAGTAGTTATTTTGCATTTCCAGGTTGTTTTGCAAATGCACACAGGCCTGTGATATGTATTTCTTAAGACTTGCAGTTTTTCACCCTTTTAATCATTTTTTTTCTTGAAGAACTGTAATGGTATTTTTGACTCGTTTAGAGATTTTATCTCTGGCTGAGCCATATGTCTCAGTCACATAATCTAGTTAAACTTGTAACTTCTTCCTGGTCATGCTCCGTAGGAATGAACTTTCAAACTTTGTAATGTATTGCTTTGATAGCTGAAGGAAGCCAAAGATGATAGAAGAGCAGATTTAAAACGAATGGAAAGAATAGCATAGAGTAATTCAGGTTGGAAGGGACATGGGTTGGGAGGGACGTAAGGAGATCTGTAGTTCAACCTCCTGCTCAAAGCAGCATCAGCTGTGAGGTTAGGCCAGGTTACTCAGGGCTTTATCCTGTTGGGTCTTGAAAACCTCCACAGATGGAGACTGCACAACCTCTCTTGGCAGAGAGGCTTCCAATCCTACAGTTAGAAAACAAATAGCCAAAGCCAAAGCATTAGTGCTGAGATTAGATGTGAGCTGCCATTCTCATCTCCTTGAAAGGAATACTTCATCCTCCTTCACACTGGCTTTTTGACACAAATCCAAGATGGTTCCAGCTGACCCTGCTGAGCTCAGCTTCATGCCTGTGAAAACAGCAGCTGGCTGCATCCTGGGAGCAGAGACATCTCTTCGCCTCTTGACACCAGTGAAAGCAGTGCAGAAAAGTGGCTGGCATTTTTACAAGGACAATTGCGTTCAACTCAGATTGTGTTCTTGTAATGCAAAAATGATGCGAGAATCTACGCACTTAGGAAATCTCTGTGAAGCTATCAAGTGTTTTGAACAGTTTTGATCAAACCTTGGCGGTTTAGACAGAGTAAATCAGCCAGCATTCCTAATTTAAACTGATTGTCTTCTTGTGTAGCTCTCATGAAATCCTGTTAAATACTTTATTGGAAAGGATTGTCTTGGTTTTAGTAACTATTCACACGTTTTCTGACCTCGTTTTAGGGAATGATCTCTTTGGATGAGGTTTTCTTTATTTTGTACAATTCTTTAGAGCCTGATGGCACCAAGAACCACATTATGTGGTCACTGTTTCCCACTACAGTACATTCCATAACACTGTATGCTTTTTGACTTCTAGGAATCATTTTATCTTCTAATTGTTTTCACATAAGCCAGGGCATGCTGATTATGAGATCAAGCTGGCTCTACTGCCAAGTCATGACTTAACCTAAATATCTGGGTGTTCTCGTGTTCAGCACATGGTCAAAGGTGTCTCACAAAGTGAAAAACCAAGCAGACCAACATCTTGCTGTGTGTGGGAACCACAATTTCCTTTGTCAAACTGTAAAACGGAAGAAAGGTAGGAAATTCCTATATGGGAATTCTCTTTCGTTCCATCTGGGCAATGGGATTTTTTTCCAAGGTTATTCCTGAAAGCAAGCAAAAGAGAAATCAGATTTGGAAGACTTTTTAGACTTTGCTTAGTAGACTCTACAGTTTATTTCCAGAGTATTTTTATATTTCTTCTTTTACACGTGAGCCTTCTCTGCACAGGAATATGTCTGAAAAACATCTCCCCAAGCACCTCATCAAGAAATGGTGCCCGCAGTGCCCGCCCCACACAGGGAAGACTGGCTGCCACCAACCCATCCTGTCTCCTAAGAGCAGTGCCTCCACGATGGTGACAGGACAGCGGTAAAAGCTGTCATCGACAAGGCCCGTATTTCAGAGAGGAATAAGGCTAAGTCTATCGAGGGCCCTAGGCCACATCCACCTGGAGAGGTGGCAGGCGGGGCGGGTCAGCAGCAGGCCTCGTTGCCATGGCGACCGCCCGCTCCCCGCGCGGCACCCGTAGCTCGCCACGGCACGGGAGGGGCAGCGCGGGAAAGGCGTCCGCGCCGCCGTTGTCATGCAATGCGCATGCGTGCTGTGTGACGCAGCCCTACTGCGCATGCGTGCTGGGAGTGCAGTGTCTTTCCGGGGCGGCGGGCGCGCATGCGCCGGGCGGCGCTATTAGGGCGGTGCGTGATAAGATGGCGGCGCCGCTTTGCGTGTTCGAATGAGTTTCCAGACGAGTTTTGAGGCTGTCGTAGCAATAAAAAATAAAAAATAAAAAAAATAAAAAATAAATAAATTCCCTCTCCAAATCCCTTCATTCTCTTAAGTGCTGTGTCCAGGTTCCATGTGTCTGACAAAAGAATTCACGGTCCGTGAATCCGTAATAGCTGCATTTAATCCTATAAGGATGGTGGGAACAGAGCTCAAAAAGCATGTTATCTGTAACAGCCTATTTTAGACAATATAATCTCACGTGGAGAGTGAACCCCGTCTGAAGCTCACAGTGGCTGTGAGGAGTCTGTGAGTTTGTGCGTTGTGGGAGCAGCACCAGCTGGTAAAGATTGCTGATGGTAAGGAAAATGAAGTGCTAGAGCCTTGTGTGAGCATGGCTTTCTGCTAGGAAACAGAACAAAACACGAGAGTGTGAATTACTGTTACCTTTTGCATATTAAACCCACGTAGTGGATCCCAGCCAGGAGCTTTGGAGTAGCTGTGAGATGCTCCTTTTTCTGAAGCTGAAAATCTCGTGTCTGTAACGCTGTCTTAATTCCCAAAGTAGGTCAGGAATGCAGGCACCGAGGTAGGGATGTGTAGTGGGTGAGTCACGGTGTGATCAGCTGTTGAGAATGCTGTGTGCTGCTTACATTCCTTAGCTGCTAACTTGTGTCTGTAACAATAAACAGAGGAAGCGTTACATTGCTTTATCTTCTTTTGTTGCATAGAAACGGGTTAATTGCTTGTTTTCCGCGAGTTGCTTTGAGGAGTGTGACTGTTTTCATATAAAGCCAAACTGAAGAGTTTGCATTGTGGAAACAGATGAAACAGCCGTTGTCCTGGGGAATCCTAAGCAGCTTCAACACAGCACCAAAACTGGCAGCGCTAACAGGGCCAAACGTAGCGGAGGAGTTGCGTGCCTTCTCTGTGCAGTCATGTGTGGGCTCACTGCAGCACATCTGGCTGTGAAGCTGTGATGCATCACCCGGGGTGAGGTATGGTGACTGTTCATCTTCTCTGGAGTCATTTTTTCCACCTCAGCAGTGGAGAAGAGATTGCAGTCTTGGTGCAGAGAACGCTTGGTGAGAGGTAGCGCTGACAGAGCTGCCTGGAGGTGGAAAGTTTGATTCTTTGGGAGTTCTTTTACCACTCTCCTGAAATGTCTGAGCTTTTCTTACCCAAGATTAATATAAATGCAGCCTTAGTTCACTTATAATTGTGATAAAGTTTATATAGCACAATTTCTGTAGATAGGTGGCAGGTGGTGGGAGGGGAATGCAAGTACTGTTTATCCTCTGGATGGTGCTGTTGTTTTGTGCAAATAGCAGAGGTCCTGAATAGCTCCAAGTCCAACCTCAGGTACTGTTTTTCTTCAGCAAGAATTACCAAGAAGTGCACAGTCTTTTCCTCTTTAGCAAATTTCTGAAAATCCTGTATGTTGTGATCTGCTTTTTATCTGGCATTTCTGGGACTGGCTGAACTTAATTGCTAAATATGGGAAAAGTCATATTTTCACTGGTTTCCACCCAGCCTGTTTCAACTCTGAGTAATTCATCCTCACTGGGACCAGATTATTATTACTGCTATTACTTTTAATGTAAATCTTTCCTTAGTCCTTCAGTTCCCAAGAGTTCAGCTTTGTTTCATCTGCAGGATGAGTATTTGTTGGCTCAGTCAAGTGCACCAAGTTAGCTAAGAGTCACTGGAATAAAAGTTTGTTGTCAAGAGGACTACTTGTTTCTGAAGGAAGAAGACTTCTGTTTCAAGGAGCACTGCATGAAAATTGTAGGTTAAGTGTTGCCAGTTATTCCTCCTGTGTGGGCTGGGTTTCCTTGATCTGCAGCAAAGGATTCCTGCGTCATATCCACTGTCCTTGTGGTAGGATAGAGCCACATGGCATTAATGAAGAAGCAAAATAGTAAGGAATATGAATCCGAGTCACCCTGAAGCAGGGGAAGTGGCATTCTGAAGACTTGTTTGTAGGAGGAGATTGTATATTTCTGCTATATTCAGGCTGCCTTAGTCCTTCTTCCCCCTTGTGCGTAGACCATGCCAGTTTCATCAACCCTACCATTGCATTGTTAAATTAACAGTGCTGTGAATGGGATAATGAGACAGTTCCCTAAAACGTCCTGAGGAAATTGCACACTGTCCTGTACAACCCTGTTGTCTTCTGTAATTTGTCAGCACAGTGGAGGTGGAGAAATTGCTGTGTGGTTTTACACCTAATTCATACAACTGTAGGATCCCTCACGCTGCCCCTGAGGTCCTCTGGAGACTTTGGTTGCAAGCATTCTCCCCTATATCTGATCTTACAGACAGCGTCCGCATTGGAGAGCAAAACGAGGGCAGGAAGTCTGATGTCGATGTAGTGGGAATAAAACTTCAACAGAGAGAAATTTCTGTGTGATACAAAGACATAAAAGAAAATCCTGCACTATAGATTCGTTACTTCGAGAAAGCCTTCTGGGAAGCAGCCAACACAGCAGTATTCTGCCTGGGATGTGACGCAGCTGCACGATGTGAAGATCCTACAGATGGCAGTGTCAGCCACGCTGCCCCTCCAGGTGGGTTCTTGTAGGGCAGCTCTTCTCTGGCTGCAAATGTTCTTTTTGTCAGCTCCTCTCCTGGACTTCTGTGGCAGTTTCTTAATAAAGGGTGATTTGTCATCCTTGTTTGCTGATGGATAGCCTGTACCCAGGAATTATCTTGCACTGATAGTTTAATAATTTTTATACTGAGAAGCCCATGTTGTTGATGTCTCTGTTCACCTTTCAATAACGAGAGATGAGGCAGAACCCCTCTTGCTAATTGTATCATAACAGGTGGGCTTTAGCCTGCCCTTTGTAGCCATAACCACCCTCAGACCATCCCCAGCTGAGAACAAGGGACCCTTCCCATGTCTGTGAAGACATGCACGTGCAGGCACTTGGGTTCAGGATCTGGGATGGTAATGAGTGGCTTTGTCCTCGGTATCTCAGCATGTGGTTGATAGCCGAGCTGTTGTACAAGACCTTCTCTAAACATGTGGGTCCCAAGGCAGATTGCCCTGCATCAGTTCATGGTTCATTGTAGGGAAAGGTGTGGCTGGAATGCTGATGGCATGTTTCAGTGCGCTTGGGAAGGACTGGGCTAAGAATGGTACCTTGATCAATTCCACTTGCAAATTGCAGTGTTGAAACAAAGTTCCATTAACTGGATTCTGCTCTGACTCGAGGCAACTTTGTACAATTGGTGCCTGAAGGTTCGCAGGCATGAGTGCCACGTGGGTCGGCCTTCAGGTAACTGTTAGTGACTGCCAAGCCTGCCTGGATGTTGGCCCCTTTGGGTGCAGTCAGGCAGGCAGAGCAGCTGCATGTGACTGGGTGTACCTGTCCCTGGATCCTTGGCAAAGGTCAGGCATCCTTAAGACACTATTTTGTGTTGACTTTCCTATCTATGAGTACAGCATTCAATGGGCAACAATGAACAACCAAAGGATATGGCTTCACAGGAAAAATTTATTGCAGTTGAACTAGACAATAAATTTGGGGGGGATAACAAACCAAAGTCTAGCCACATAACGTGACAGGGAGCACTTTTATCTTCTGAATAGGTTAGATAGCAAACCATGTGTAAGTTCACAAACAAAGATCTGCCTATTTATCTTTAAAGGGCTATTAAAGCAGAGGACACTGTGTATTTTTCTAATTCTGAAATCAGATGACATTTTAGAGAGGACCTGAACTTCCATCCTGGAAGCAGTATAGTTATTTTAATGTATTCATGGGGCACTTGAGTGATTTAAATATTTGAGTGATTTAAATAGGTTGACCTGATGGACATCAGTGAAATATTTTGGTGGCGGCAAAGCAAAAAGCCCGTTTGAGACTGGAGAGCTGCTGGAGCATTGTGGCTTCAGCCATCAGCACTCTGAGGATGTTGTGGTGGAGCCACCAGTGTCTAGATGAAGCTAAAACCAAAAAGATGCCATGTAGCTCTGGGCAAAAGCAGGACTTGTGGTGTCATCCTGGTTACATTCTCATGTGGTGAACTGCCTTTGACCACTCTGTCTCCTTTCTGTTTATTTCAGACTTGTCTGAAGAAGTGTGTGGTGCTGGAGCATGGCTGACAGCGTTGTTCCAGCAAAGATCATGTTTCAGAACCAGCTGAAGGAAAGACAGTAATTTAATTTGCAAGTGCTTTCAGACAAATTACATAAATGCTATAAACCTAACTGCTTGTTCTGTACTACTGAATGCTCAGACTGCCATAAAGTTTCACAGAACAGCACTCACAGTTAAATTATCAGAAGAGTTATTTTCTCAAGTTCTTATTTTCACTGAGTCATGGAATCATTTGGGTTGGAAAACACCACTGAGGTAATTAATGAATTCTGTCTGCTTTGATAAGAGTCTCCTCTTGGTTGTTTTATGCATCGTCTCAACCAATGTGAATTTATTTGAAGTAAACTGGACTGACGTTTACTTACAGTTGTAAGATAAAGGTCCAAATATGCGTTCAGATATTGACCGAATGTTGACTGGAACAAGATGGGTATCATAAAAACTGGTCAGTGGAATGTCATCCTGGTTTTACCTGGGGAGAATTAGTTTTCTGACTGGTGGCTGGTATCAGCTGTTCACTCACTCCCCCGTAACCCAGTGGGAAAGGAGAGCAAACTGGAAAAAAGTAAAACTCGTGGGTTGAGATAAAGTCAGTTTAATTGGACAGAACAGGAGGGGAAATTAATAATATTAATGACAGAATAATATACAAAACAAGTGATGCACAATGCAGTTGTTCCCCAACCAAAGACGACCAGTCAGTGAGCAGCTCCGTGCCACACTTTGCACTGGAGCAGTACCTGTCTTTATGAAACGCAGCTCATGGGTGGAGATGTGCAATAAAACACTTTTATTAGAAACAGACCAGCTGATCCCTTTTGGCTCTGTTTGACATTGTGCAAACCTTCCTAGAGATCTAATGCTTGCAAGGCAAGCCCCAGTTGAAAAGATGATAAGTAGCTCCCAGGGGACTGGGAGAGACTGGTATGCCATTCCCAAATGAAAGAATCTCACATTTCCACTACAATGGCACATTGTGCTGCTCTCTTTCTCATCTATGTTTTTGCCTGTGGTTTTCCCAGCATATTTATAGGTGGTGTGCAAATGGGGTGGCAAAGAGTCACCTTCTGTTCCTGGAGGCAAAAGTTAATAGGAGTGAGATGAAGAAAGGTAGCACAAGGCCATCTAGGTTTCTAGATAACACAGGAGAACTGTTGAATGGAAGACAGTAGATAAAAGAGAAGAGAAGCATGCGGTTTCCAGCAGTAAATCCATCTCGCCTTTCACAAGGCCCCATGGCTTTGTTATTCTTGCAGCTAAAAATCACTTTTCTGATGCATCTACCAGGGACAGAGAGGAAGGCACTGTGAGGCTGCAGTTTTCCAGCTGTAAGGCAGGGACACCATGATGTACATCACTCAAGCAGGCTTACAGGGTACTTTACTCTGTAAGCACTTTTCACGCCAAAGGATGCCAAATGGCACAGTTGCTCTTCCAGTTCTAAAGAGGGGTGGCTTCTGATGCTGAATTAGAGGGAAGAATAGGGGGAAGATCTTTACAAAGAAGTCTTGCACATTTGGCTTGAAACGTGGTAGACCAGCACAACTGTGATTTGGTGCAGGTCCTTATTTTGCAGGTATATGTGAAATGCTGAGATGTGTGCCTGCATTCCCTGCTAGGGGTATAGAGAAGGATTTGTGGTCCTTATGTTTCTCCAGAGTGGCAGAGAATCCAGGAATGCTCCCAGTCCTAGCAGCTGATGGGCAATCCTTCTACTGAAGGGCTGATTTTCAGGTGAGGAGCCAGCTGACCACGAGTTCAGTACATCAGCTGCTCACCTGTCTGCAGTACTGCCCTGCTGCTGAGTAAACAGCTCTCTCAGAGGTTCCACAGAAGGAAGAGAATATTCTCTAAATTTCTATCAATAGGTTTTAAAGGAGAAATCAAAAAAAAACAAACCCACAATCCACAAAACCCACAAATCAGCCCTTGAAGTGATGTCAGTTTCGTCTCTCTGCCTGCCAGCTCCGTGTTGATAGGCTAGGCTTCCTGCTGGGATGGCACAGACAAAAGGCTGTTTAGGGAGGCATTTGGGTAAAGGAGCATTGATTGCTTCCAGCCTGTGTAACTACAACTGAGTGTGTAGCCATTGTTGCTGGGAGCATACTTCTTTTTGTTTATTTGTCGGCTGTTTTTCTTTAAATTCTCTCAGATGAGGAGGCCCATCAGTCTTCTCAGCTTGGTGTTTCTGAGAAAGGAAAAAGGAATGCAGGGACCAGTGCCATTTCAGTTTTGCAGCTTAAGCAAGGCAGGGTCCATGGCAAACAGCTGAAGAAGCAGAAAAGCAGTGATGGAAAATCCAATCTGTTCCATTTAAGAGGTTAGCACCTCTAGCTGTGGCCACAAGGACCTCAAAGAACCTGAGCAGGAGCTGTGATAACAGAAAGAACCAGAAAGAGTCCCAGTGATTAGTGGCTCTAATATAGGCAAATTCAGAGCACTTATAGCCTACCTCCAAGCAAGTGATTGCTCCAAGCAAGGACTTTACCTCGTGTGGGAGAGCTGCCTGTGTTCACATTGCTGGCTGGAAGTAGGGGAAATATTCCAGGTCGGACCCATGACATCTGCTGTCATAAAGTAGATTTCAGGCCGTTTCCTTACCAGGTCAGCTGGGTAAGGCTGGATACCACACAGGCAAAACAGCACTGAAAACCACAATGGTTTACACATTCTTTGTGCAGTTCTGCTGCTCTTGCAGCACATCTTGGCATGCCCTCTTCCTTTGCACAGACATGAGGAAGTGGAAAGCACACAGAGCACAGGCGAATAAACAAGGTTTGATACACAGCCCTCAGGAAGCTTTGCACACAGATAAATTATTGGTGTGGCTCAGACTTGTGCTAACAGCCTCAGCACACAGATCAGATTGTGATAAAGCTTATTTAAAAAAAAATAAACAGAACAGACGAATCTGCCTTTTGTCTGCCCAAGATGTAACTAAAGATATAGTTAAGTGGATCTGGAGTTAAACGAAATGTTAGAAAAGTACTAGGAAAGAGCCATCTTCACTTGGCCTCAGTTGGGTTTCACTCAAAAAAGTCTTATTTTCGGTAAAGAACAGAATAGTTTGTGGTGTAGGCATTGCTGCTGGCAGCTGGTTGTGCTGGGCCAGGAGCTTGGAGTCTCTGCACAATGAGAGAAGCAGCATCTCTTGGGACTGCTGGTAGGGCTGCCAGAGGAGCACACAGAACCTCTAATCTGGGAAAGGAAGCTGGCGTCTGCCCTGTGGCCCTTGAGAAGTTGCCAGTGCCTGTGTCAGGTTGCAGTCTTGCCAATTATCTCCCTGGCAGTGGAGGTGAATGAAAAACAGTTTTCTATGGGCTGGGAGCCCAGTAAGTCCCAGCGATCAGGCTTCTTACAGAGCTTTGTAAGGGAGCAGCTTTGTTCTTGGTCTGTGTTTTCACTGGATCATCCCTCACCATGGCTGAGTGTACAGCCACACTTCCTCACCTGACCTTGTGTTTGAGCTCCCCAGGCTGCCTGAGCTCTGGCAGGCTGATTTCAGCAACGAGGGTGAAAAGAAGATGAAATACTATTCCAAGGAAATGAAACCCATTAGGATTTGGGATTTTTGTTTGTTTGTTTTTTCATCCCTTGCGCAAATACAGGAAGGTGAAAAGCTGTATGTTTTGCATAGCGACCCTGCTTTCAGCTCCTGTACCTGCCAGAGATTTGACTGTTCCCCAAAGCACAGCCTTTGCTGAGCAGAGTGCTACAGACCTTCTCCACAATTGTTAGCACAGCTCCTCAAGAGCAAAGAAAGCTGCCTTTTTCTGGTTGTGGGAATCTTGCTATCCCTCGTGGCTCTTGGGTTTGCAGCAATGTTACGTGGAGGAAGTGGAAGGAAAATGCTGACTGCCTCCAGAACTTCCCTTTGGGATTCTGTTAACAATACATGCCTTGTAGTCACACACAAGCAGCTTCTCCCAAGCAGAATGCCCAAAGGTGCAGAGGGCTGGAAGACGAAGGCTGAAATGAAGCCATTGCTGTATGTGCTGCGTATCAGTGCTTCAGGACCAACAGCTGCCCCCGTAAGACAATGTTTTGGAGATGTGAGCAGAATTGCTGCTTACATGTTGCACTCCCAGACCTGTAACCTGGCTCTCCAAAATTGCTTAGGGCTCCTGAGTGCTGCATGACCAAACCCTTTCTAAATGCCTCTCACTATTCAATGGATCTCCTCTGATCCTAGGTTCACTTGGGGAAGATTGAAATGTTTTGCTGTAGATGGAGGAGCATAGCCTGGGCTAACAACCTCCCCGTGTTGCTTCAAGGACTTTTTCAAATCTGTTGTTGTTTCGTTGTTTCTCTCCTCTGTCCTCTGGTAACTGGTGTTTTTCACTTTAATCCAGAGAGTGGAATTTATTAGGAAGAAATGCAGTTACTGCTGATGCAGCTACAGGGACTCCCTGCAGGTGCTAGGATGCATCAGTTGGGACAAGGTAGGCATGAAACCTTTTGTTGGCTTTCCTGTAACTTAAAGCAAACATCAGCACTCTGTGTGCTTAGAAACACACTTAGAAAGTGTGAATGTTAGCTTCTAACATTTGTGATGTTGGCAACAAAAACTTATTCCCAGTTTTGTTTTTGATAAGAACTGCACAAAACCAGCTTCCAGACTAAGAGCCATTCCCACTTGAGTTATCAGGGTTAATATTTAACTGCTCCCTGTGAGTTAAAATAGCTGTTTGCTGTAGTATGTAAAACTGCATTTCAGGTGCGGGGGATCATCTCTGTTTGCCTTTCCCTTTGCTGGTGGGGAGAGGTGTTCTGGGCTGCCAAGTCAGTCTCTGGCAAAGTGCAGATTTGCATGGTATGAACTGGGGAAACTGGGACAGGGCAAGACATTGTCAGGTGCTACAGATCAATGGGAAACACCATCTCCTAGATCTGGATATGCTGATAGCTCCACTCAAGCGTGGTGTGTGCCCTCAAAAAGCTGTGGCAGGGATTCATTTACCCTCGGAATGTTTTGTGTGCACGTGGCATCAGTGGAGCTTTGTTTGAACTGACACTAGTGATGAGGAAAGCCTGGTTCTACTTGTCCTACTGAGGTACAGTAGTGTGGAAAGCAGTTGTCTCTCTGTACGTGATGACATGATTCAAACATAAGGAACACGAAGAAAGAAATGGTATTGTGGTTTCACCAAAGTGATGTATGTCTTCTACGTTCTGCAGCTGTTTGTGGACCCACGTTCATCCATGCCCTGTATCACTGTTGAAGTAGCATCACTGGCATTTTCTGTCCACTCAGTGACCATTGTGAAGGGATGGGGCAAGAGTTCAGCCCCAAAAAGGGACTGGTCCTGGCCGTGGCAGTGGAGGAAACTTGACAGGGAGCTCAAAAAGAACGGCTGGAGAGTGCAAACTATCTGTGTGCCATCTGTCTGTGTGACAGCTCAGAGCCAAAGGACGTGTTCCTGAGCCAGGTGAGCCTGTGTAACAAGTTTGTTGGCC